GGAGGCTCATTGCGCCGCCATTAACACTAGACTCCCGACCTGTTCTCTGCGAGTCTGCCTTCACGTTCCCACTCAAGATGGCCGCCTCCCTGGCGGCACCCACACTCTCGACACTCTCAACATGGCGTCCCCGAGCGGCCATTCCCCGAGCGTGGCGAGCAAAACGGAAGTGACGCATACCGGGCAGTTCCGTCTTCTTTCTGCTGCAGGAACCGTGGCTGCTGAGCCAGGCCGGTGTAGTGGCTGCTACTGACCTTTGTCTCGGCCTCGTGTAGGTGACGAGGCGGCGGTGGGAGGAAGGCACCCTAATTGCTTATAGGTTGCAGCAGGGAGGGCGGTGGGGAGGGACTGTAACTTCTTTGGGCTTGTTGGCGGGAGTTGCCCGCTTCTCCCCGTTACGGAGACCTAAGGTTTTGAGTTCCCACTGGCTCCGGTTGGGGAGACTCCCTGGCCCTGCACCTCCAACTCGGCAGCCAGTTGAGCGAGCGCTCCTTGCCCGGAAGCAGTGGTGAGTCCAGTTTTGGATAAGCAACCCTTTTAATGACTGGATGCTTCATTCTTTCCTACAGTGAGAGGAAGTAGCACATCTTCCTACAGCCTGCTTCCTGCTGCACAACACACTTCTTCCGGTCTCGGCCCGGACGGGATGCTGCTGCTGTTGCTGCTGCTGCTACCCCTCTGCTGGGCAGTAGAGGTTAAGAGACCTCGGGGCGTTTCCCTCAGCAGTGAGTCCTGTTTGTGCATAGCCTGATGGTCGGTCGGAAGGGCATTTCCTGCCTTTTGCCTCAGTTTCCCGTAGCATTTCCACTGGTGAATGGGTAGGACAGAGATAGTATTTATTTAAAAGATCTGGACTGAGCCTCTTGTTTTCCTTCCCAGACCATCACTTCTATGATGAATCGAAGCCTTTCACGTGTTTGGACGGCACAGCCACCATCCCATTTGATCAGGTGAACGATGATTACTGCGACTGCAAGGATGGCTCAGATGAGCCTGGTGAGCTTCTTCTGCATCTACTTATTGCCTCTTAAATGAGCCTAGCAAGAGCAGACACCCCATAAGGATTAGGGTCCCAAATTCCCGTTGCTCCTTGCTCAGTGAGCAGAAGGAGACACAGAAATGAGATCTCTGTTGGATCCCTCGCTCAGTGGTGGAATTTGTAGGTTTCAGTCCCTGGTTTCAATTCCCAAATAAAAGAACAAATGTTCAGGTTTATGACCAAGTCAGCAGCTGGCATTGTGTGAACCAGAGAGGGAACCAGTAATGGCTTCCAGGAGGAGGTGAGGTTTCTAGCCGGGAAGAGCCAGCATGGTGCCCCTCAGAGGTGGGAGAGGGAGTAAGGCTGAATGGCATTCTAGGGGCTGGTGAAGGCAAAGGAGGAGCTGGGGTGGGAGTTGCCAGGCCTTTTTGAAGAGCCTTAGAAGCTGACGGAGCCTGGAGGGCTCTGTTGCAGACCCCAGAAGATGCAGCTTCTTTCCTTGGTTGTTCCTAGTTTGTATCTCTTTTTTCAGACACATTCTTGTGTAGCCCAGGCTGGCCTTGAACACAGTGTAGCTGGAATGATCGTGCACTACTGATCCTGTTTTTACCTCCCAAGTGTTGGGATTAAACACATTCACCGCCACAGCCAATTTCCACCTATTTTTCTGGTGCTTTCCATGAATAGGTAAGATGTGTCTGGCCTGGAGCACATTCAACAAATGTTCCTTTTCTACAGGTACAGCCGCTTGTCCCAATGGCAGCTTCCACTGCACCAACACTGGGTACAAGGCCTTGTACATCCCCTCCAGCCAAGTTAATGATGGGGTGTGTGGTAAGTAAGGATACTCTGGAGATTGGGGAGGTGGCAGGGGCCAGCTGGAGGAGGCCCTGCTATCAGTGATCTTTCCCTTATGTCTGCCTCAGACTGCTGTGATGGAACAGATGAGTACAACAGCGGCAGCATCTGTGAGAACACCTGCAGGTGGGTGGGTAGCAGTGGGGTGTCCAGGGTACCCTGGCGCCTTGCCAAGCTCTACTTGGAAGTCAGGCTGCTTCCTTGTCTGTGTCGTGTCCGTCCCCCCAACCTGCAGTCCCAGCACTTGGGAGGCAGGTTTATCTTTATATTATGTGTGTGTGTGAGAGACAGAGTATATGCCACCCACATACATGTCTACTACACAGACCAGAAGAGGGTGTGTGTGATCCCCTGGAGCTGGAGTTACAAGTCGAATTCAGGTCCTTTAGAAGAAGTCTCTTCAGTCCCTTCTTTGTTTTTTAGAGATAGGCTCTCCCTCAGTTTGTCCAGCCAGCCCAACCTCAAGTGCCTCCTCCCTTTACCTCCTGGGTGCTAGTATTACAAGCCTAAACCACCGTGGACTGTCCTTTTGTGAATCCACTGGTCATACGCCTTGGGAACTCCACTTTACCAGTGTTCCCTGCAGCTATAAAGTAGTGGAGATTGTTTCCGTGTTCAAAAAAATTGGAGATGGTGGGACAGGCCTGTTATTACAGCACGTGGGAGATGGAGGTAGGAGGGTCAGAAGTTAAAGATTGCCTTTGGCTACATAATGAGTCTGAAGTATGGGCTGCCAGAGACCCTGTTTCAAAAAAACTGGGGAGAAATTCAGTGCAGGAAGGAAATAACTTGACTGTTTGGTGAACTTGAGCTCTGATTAGGTTAATACTCCGAATACTTGGTTTCGTTTTTTTCCCTATTCTTTCTCACCTCCCTCCCCCTCTCTCTCTCCCTTCTTTCTCATTTCTCAGTATGTATCTCTGACTGGTCTGGAACTCACAGAGATCTACCTGCCTCTACTTCCCAAGTGCTGGGATAAAGACATGTGCCACCATGCCTGGCTTCTTAATCTCTTTTTGTGTGTTTATATGGTGTGTGTGTAGTGTAAGAGCATGTGTACAGATGTGTGCTTGTGGAAGCTATGTTGGGAAGCATATTGGGTTTCTTGCTTTTCGCTCTGCTTTATACTGTGAGACAGGGTCTCTCTCACTGGCTGGGCTGGGGGGCAGCAAGCCCTAGCAATCCTCCATTTCTACCTCACATAGCACTGGGGTTCTAGAAGTATGTGGCCACACTTGCTTTTTGGTAGGTGCTAGGGATTTGAACTCAGGCCCTCATGTTTATATAACATGTACTCTTACCCACTGAGCCATCTCCAAGCCCATTTTGGTTTTTGAGACAGGATCTCCAGCTTATCATGGGTGACCTGGTCCTTGGGAGATAATCCTTCCCTTTCTGTCTTCCAATTGGTGGGATTACAACTGTGTCTGCCATGTTGGGTTTTGTTTTAGTTTTTGAGACTCATGTAGTCCAGACTAGCCTCAAACTTGGCTAGCTAGCCAGTCATAATCTTGAATTGGTTTTCCTCCTGCCTATGCATCCAAAGTGCTGGAATTGCAGGTGTTTGCTACCACACCTGACAAACCTATAGTTCTTGTTTTTGATTTTTTGTTTTGTTATGAGACAGGGTCGTCCTGTGTGGCCTTGGCTAGCTTCATATTCTCTATATAAACCAGTCTGGCCTCAAACTCAGAGGTCTACCACCCAAGTGTGTCACCACGACTGGCCTGAGCCTGTGCTTCTTGTTCTTCCTCCTCTCTGTCAGTTTGGGGCTAGCTTCCAGCCCCATCCCAGCACTTCCTAGTCTGTTCTGTAATCCCAAGAATAGGCAGGCAGTCCATCTTCTCAAGGTCAGAACTGAGACCTCTGGTCAAAAGAACCTGGAGGGGCAGGTTGAAGAGGGCTCTTTCTGTGTCTGACCTTTCTCCGCATTGTTTGAGGGGGGATGTGGGTGGAACATGCAGGTGACTCTTCTGGAAAAGGCAAACCTGCTGAGTCCTGAGTGTCTTTAGTGGTACTTGTGTGTGTCTACTCCAGAGAGAAGGGTCGTAAGGAAAGAGAGTCCCTACAGCAGCTGGCCGAGGTCACCCGAGAGGGGTTCCGTCTCAAGAAGATTCTCATTGAGGACTGGAAGACAGCCCGGGAAGAGAAGCAGGTGAGGGACACAGAGAGATGATGCACTTGACTCTGGCTGTGATGAGCCCGTGTCTGTCTTTATGAGTGGTTGACTGAGTATTTCCCAAGTAAGAGGTTATCAGCTTATGAGCCAGAGGTGTTAACTCCTGCAGACAAGAAGAACATCTCTTTGTATCCCCACCCCACTGTCTGTAACCTAGGTTGATTACACCCTAGTTCTGGGGAAACCACTCAGCTTAAAGGCAGTAGAAACTGCTATATTGCATGAGTATGGTAGGTACTTGAGGATTCATAGGCTTCTGTGTTGTTGGTTTTTTACTCTTTGGTCTTTTGGCGGGTCTGCCACTCAGCTCCCAAATAAATACACACAGAGACTTATTATTACTTACAAATGCCTGGTCTTAGCTTGGCTTGTTTCTTGCCAGCTTTTCTTAACTTAAATTATCCCATGTACCCTTCCTTTGGGCTTTAATCTTTATCTATTCTGTATACGTTTCTTTACTTCTTACTCCTTGGCTTGCTGTGCAGCTGGGTAGCTGACTACTGATGTCCTCCTCTTCTTGCTCCTTCTCCTTGAGTCCACTTTTTCTCCTATTCTCTCTGCCTGCCAGCCCCTCCTATCTTTTCTCCTGTCTCGCTGTTGGCTGTTCGGCTCTTTGTTAGACCGGTCAAGTGTTTAGACAGCTTCACAACATAAAAGAATGCAACACATATTTGCATCATTAAATACATGTCCTACAGCTTAGACAAATGTAACACATCTTAAAATAATATTCTGCAACACTTGTGTATCTCCCTTGCCCACCGTTGGCTTGGCTC